CGAAAGGCTGGCAAAATCATTTTATTGTTATACTCATCTTTCTAATTAACTTACTTCATAAAAGAATATGTGTGTGAAATTGCAAATATTATTTTTTATTTAATAAATAAACATTTATATTTGATGCAAACATATAAAAAATTTGATAACCAATAAAAAAAATCATAAAATTTTAAAATATATTCATAATTTAATATGACAAATTGTTTTATAGTCTTAAACCTCCATGATAAATGCCCAATTTTTAATAGGCATTGATAATAGTCGTGATTTACCTTAATTAATTCCAAGAAATAATCTAAAGTATAAATAACAAATCATAAGAAATTAACACACAGGCTAATAAAAACATCCATTTGATATTTAGCCTCGAAACACTCCATATTTATATATAAAAAGAAGCATATAAAACTAACACATAAATTTTCGAAAAATTGAAATTGACAATTAGTATCGCAAAAATTGCATTACATATAGGGAGAGATGTTTTTAGGCTTGCAAACGAGCCAAGTTGAGCCGATCACTGAATTTATCGAATCATGCTCGATTTTTAACACTTGCTCGAGCTCGATTCGATAACAAAATACGAGGGGAATAATATTTTAATATGGTTATCTCGCTATTTTAATTGAAACGTGAAACTAGCGACTTCGTATTGCAAAACCCCGTCGTTCTACAGACGCGCGCGCACACACACACACAGACACACACACTGACACACATACGCAGGAAGTGCAGAAATCGTCAGCTGTGGCTATGGAGAGAGGGAGAGGAAAGATCATCACCAAAAAGCCATCGAATGACAAAATTACCCTCGAACAGTTCGTCTCCACAATGGCCCCTCTCATCGACATGGAAAAGGTAGTCACTAGCATCAGCTTCTTCATCTTTTACAGTTACATATGTATATATGGGCAACTGTCTGTGTATGCGCGTGTTTCAGCTCAATCGTGTTCTATCTGCATATATTTCGATTGCAATGTTCCGTGGAAGGTCCCTTTTGCTTGCTTAATTTTGTTGAGAGTTTGGACTGGTTTAATTTTACTGCTTAGTACTTGAGATATGCCAAACTGTATGCCCAAAATGATGGACAAGTTGTGTTTGTTTTAGGAAGCTGAGATATCTCTTTCCATGAGCTCGGGGGCGGTTAGATGCTTGGACAGCGCTCAAAGGAAGGGGTCCACTATCCTGAATTTGAAGTGTGTAGATGCTCAGGTGATATTTATTTTTGAATGTTGTTTACCTTTCGAGGGTTTACGTCTGAATGTGCATTGTATATAGACAGGATTGATGGGGAAAAGTTTGCTCGAATTCCAATCTAACAAAGGAGATGTGCTCCCTCCTCACAAGGTGAACTGTTTTTTTTTTTTTAGTATTGATTGCGTTACTTTTCAAGGTGTTCTGGGTTTCAGTGGTGTATGGTTCCACCATATATTGATATTGGTAAAAACCAAAGTGCGTTACGTTTTTGGATTGAGGCATTTAAAGGGATTTCAAATGAATGGATTCGAAATCATTGAATTAAAATTAGCTATACTTGCGGATGGCGTGGTCGTTGCAGTGCTGGGATGAAGAACATATTTCAAATGGCTAGGTTTGGGGAATAATTTAAAATCCCTGAATAGTATTATTAGAACCCATTGAATTTCTAGGGTGATGTTGAAATCCTCTAATTTCTATTGTCATCCAAGTACATCCTAAGCTTTTTTTTTTGCTTTGGACTTCTTGGTGGGGCCTTTATCCTTGTTATTATTGTAGGCAGTTCTTTTTTGATTTATAGTGTTTTTTGAACTGTGAAGCAATGTGCGTAATTTCTATGCATCTTATACATTTCCAATTGCATTCCCTCCCCTCAGTTTGGAACTCATGATGTTGTGGTTTTGAGGCCAAACAAATCTGATCTGGGGTCTCCTCCTCTAGGGCAGGGTGTTGTTTACAGAATAAAGGTACTATTACTCTTGTGGAATTAACAGTTGCTACACATTCTTATGATTCATTGAGTGTATATGTAAATACTCTTCTGTGTTGAGCAGGACTCATCCATTACTGTTGCCTTTGATGACATACCAGAAGAAGGTTTGAATAGTCCCCTACGACTTGAAAAAGTTGCAAATGAGGTAGATTTTCTGTACCATTAGATTGTATGATTTTGTTCCACAAAGAATTAGAGAAAAGTACTTTGTGATACATTTCCTTTGTTACTGTATACTCTGGGCAAATTTGTAGGAAATTATGCTGTTAAAACTATATGGCAAGATATGAAATACATGATTCCGGGTCTGCACATGCTTGACCATTTTTCTAGCTTAATCAATAATAGTTACAGAGCTGAGTTCCCTTTCTATTTTAATCTTAAAGTTCAATCCAACTGCCTTCATTTTCTTAGAAGAATCAACATATTTATCTAAACTGCCAAAAGAATTGTCTCTCCTGGAATTGTTTACTCAGGTTAGTTTATTAATGATTGGTAGGTATAGGCAATTTTCATATTGGATACTTTTTATATATAATACACTTATTGAATTCTATCCACATACTATTGAGTTTGAATTAGGAAGATTCCAATTCAACTGAATCGAGCATCATGTAGATAATTTTAGATCTAAAACAGTAGATTTAGAAATTAATAAAGCTTTCAATATGCTGAAGAGTTGTGAATTTTTCAGTATTTAATATGGGACTGATTTGTAGGTGACATATCGTCGGTTGAAGGAAACGTTGATTCAACTAAGTAAAGGCGTGCAAAAAGGTCCTGCTTCCGATCTAGTTCCTGTTTTATTTGGAGAGAGGATACCAACAGTGTCCAAGAAGGATGTCAAGTTCACTCCTGTTAACAAGAACCTTGATCATTCTCAGGTTTCTTTTTACAAAATATTTTCATGTAGCCACAATCATGCCTTTGTGATATCTTGTTCTTCATTATCTTGATAATTTAAGAACGTATCTGCTAGAACCTTTCAGTTTTCCTGAAACTTATATTTCGTGATTCATAATAGTAGGCCCTTATAAATTCTTCCAGTATTAGACTGAATAAATTCTCTTATTTTTCAAGAAAGATGCTATCTCAAAGGCTCTATCATCCAAGGACCTCTTTTTGCTGCATGGACCTCCTGGAACAGGGAAAACTACTACTGTGGTAGAAATTATCTTACAAGAAGTCAAGCGTGGAAGTAAAATTCTTGCTTGTGCTGCATCCAATATTGCCGTCGATAACATTGTGGAGAGACTTGTACCTCATAGGTATATATGATGATCTGAGTGCTTACTTTCTAATATCACATTGTTTAGAAAGGGAAAAAACAGCTATTCTTAGCCTGGTTTTACTTTGATATTATTCTCTGTTCCTATATTGACATTAGAAAGAAATGATTATATTTATGTAAACACTTTTTTTAAAGTTGTCTTGAGGAAATGTCAATTGGTATTTCTATAACCTGAGTTTTGGGTGACTCATGATCGTTGTTTTTGTAATTTTATGCTTAAAGAAACTGATTCATATACTCTTTTCCACCTAGTTTAGTTAGAGCTGATAGAATGAAATTTTTTAATGCATAATTTTCAAAACTAGCACCATTAGCAATCTTTTTTATATTTACCATTACCAGATTCATTAAGCAACCCAGGAATTTGACTGAAAACTTGCTTCATATGTTTATATGTACAAGTAGACAATGAAAACTGACTAGGAAATCTCAGGTTTGCTCAGTTTTCATTGCCAATATTAGTAGCTGACTCTCTCGGTTTGTAACAGAGTGAAGCTGGTAAGAGTTGGGCATCCTGCACGCTTACTTCCTCAAGTATTGGACAGTGCTTTAGATGCGCAGGTAATATTTCTATTGCCCCACAGTCAAAATCTGTATTTTAGAATGTCTTCTCATAATATATTTATCCATGCCATTTTTGTTAGATCATTTTAAAATGATGTCTTTATTGTTTTTGTTTTTGCTCTTTTTTCTTTCCTGCATATATATATTCCACATTTCTTTCCAGCAAGATTTTTTTTTTTTTTTTTTTTTTTTTTTTTTTTTTTTTTTTAAGAATCTCATTTTGAACTGAGTTGCTTTTCCCTCAATCCTGTAATCTATCTAATTTCTTTCAAGTTTCATATGGGAGATCATCCATGAATGACAATATTCAGATTTGTAATTCTATCTATTGAGTTCAAGAGCATGTATGACTTTTTTTTTCTTTAAACTATTTGGATTTTTAGGTTTTGCGTGGGGATAATAGTGCACTTGCAAATGACATTCGCAAGGAGATGAAGGTATATGCTGTAAAATTAAAATCGTTCATTAACTTTTTGTGCTATGACAAGCCCAGCCATCTGAATTTTAAATTTTCAATTTGTAATAGTGACAATGGATATGGCTGATGAACATTAGGTCTCTCCTTGATAAGAAACCTTGATAATAGGCAAAATTATCAATGCCGCACCTCCACCCCCAAAATAAATGAAGAAATAAATAAATAAAAGAAGCACCCAAAAGTAAAATGAAAAAAAAAAAGGAAAAATTTAATTAGATGGGCTTCTCGTTCAGTAGGACAAGAAAATTGACAGTGTTTGATGACTCTGCAGGCTTTGAATGGTAAACTTTTAAAAGCTAAAGACAGAAACACTAAAAGAGATATTAGGCGGGAACTTAAGACTCTATCCAAAGAGGAGCGCAAAAGGCAGCAGCTGGCTGTGACTGATGTGCTTAAGAATGCTGATGTGGTGTTGACAACCTTGACCGGTGCATTGACTAAGAAGTTAGAAAACTTTTCATTTGATTTAGTTATTATTGACGAAGCTGCTCAGGCATTAGAAATTGCATGCTGGATCGCTCTTTTGAAGGTAATTATCAATTATCATAAGACTATAAGAGAAATAAATCTGCATAAATTGTCAGCAAGTGATATCCAAGTATTTCTTAGACTGAAATTTATTAAAAAATGACGAGATTTATTATTGGAGCGCTTGGAGGCTAGCAATCAACGTGCCAGAACCGTGACTTTTGCTCCTTTCTCTTTTGCTCCAATCTCTTCCTTTTGTTTTGAGCCCCTTTTGTGTTTCTCTTACCATTGGTTCTCTTGGGTTTCATCTCTAGCCTACCCCAACTTGCTTGGAACAAAAAGGCTATGTTATTGTTGTTGTTGTTGACGAGATTTATTCAGGATAGTTGTAGTGTAACTTGTGGGACTAAGAATGGTCCTCTACTAGAATAGTTTCACATTTGCCAAAACTATTTTTATCGATGTTCTTCTTGCTGAGACCTTTGCTAAAGTTTCTAACTTTGTGTTACTAGGGTCCTAGATGTATATTAGCTGGAGATCACCTTCAGTTACCCCCAACTATTCAAAGCATTGAAGCAGAGAAGAAAGGCTTAGGACGAACCCTTTTTGAACGTCTTGCAGACTTGTACGGAGATGATGTCACGTCCATGCTTACTGTTCAGTACCGTATGCATGAACATATCATGAACTGGTCATCTGAAGAACTCTATCATGGCAAGGTGTTCAATTATGTTAATCACACCTCAGGCATTCTTTTCAATTCGTGCACTGGTAGCACTTGAAGAAATTGATGGCAGAAAATGCAGTTGTTTTGTTTCTCTCCTGTGAGTTAAAGTTATATATCTGTGTGCTTTTAGATTAAAGCTCATGCAAGTGTTGCTGCCCATACCTTGCATGAGCTTGAGGGTGTCAAGAAGACAGCTTCAACAGAGCCAACTCTTATTCTCATCGACATAGCTGGGTAATGCTGTTTTCTCTACCCTTATCTACACTATTGTTAAATTGCATACAAGAGGAATAGAATAACTAAGTTTATCTTATATTTTTATTTTTCCATCAGTTGTGATATGGAAGAGAAGAAGGATGAAGAAGATAGTACGCTAAATGAGGGTGAAGCTTCAGTCGCTATCGCACATGCTAAGAGACTTGTGGAGAGTGGAGTTCAAGCCGTCAACATAGGAATTATTACACCTTATGCAGCACAGGTACAATTTATGCTGGTGAAGTAAAAAAACTGTCTGATTGAGGATGAAAATAAACTGAAAAATCACATTGTGCCTATGCTATGTTAGGTTGTCCTGCTGAAGATGTTAAGAGGCAAAGAAGATAAGCTAAAAGATATGGAGATATCTACAGTTGATGGGTTTCAGGGACGTGAAAAGGAAGCAATTATCATTTCAATGGTCCGGTCAAATTCAAAGAATGAGGTAAGAAGTGAATAGTGAATACGTTAGGTTAAATATCAAAAAGTACCCATGAGATTTAGCTAACTTACATAAAAGTCCTATTCAGTCAGATTATGCACTGAAATGGTGCATTTTATAAATTAAAGTCAAATGTCAAGGGATTAATCTGTTTTTCCAAAAGAAAATTGGACTTTTTGGTAATTAGATTAAAGCTTAAAGGTTAACATAACCTTAATTCCCTATTTATTTTTATTTTTTATTATATTTTTTAAAATAGTTGAACTACCTTTTGACATCTAATTTTCATTTCTGGTTGTAGGTTGGTTTTTTGAGTGATCGCAGGAGAATGAATGTTGCAGTGACTCGAGCAAGGCGACAATGTTGCATTATTTGTGACACAGAGACTGTTAGTGGTGACAAATTTTTGAAGCGTTTGATCGAGTACTTTGAGAAACATGGTGAGTATTTGAGTGCCTCTGAGTACGGTACTGAGTAACTCATTAGTTATACATGGTGTTGTCTTTAGCATACCTTAAGGAGTACTTTGAGAAACATGGTGAGTATTTGAGTGCCTCTGAGTACGGTACTGAGTAACTCATTAGTTATACATGGTGTTGTCTTTAGCATACCTTAAGGACGCCTATGCCGATATGCTGATTTCTTGTGACTCAACAATTGCAAGTACTGATTTGTTTTGAGTACCGTACATTTATTTGTTTATTTGACATTCTATATTTCAGAATAATAATCGTGTTAAACCATCTATTTTTATAGTAGCTGGCAATAAAACCAAATTACATGCAATCTGTTTATCTAGATTCTGAACATTGGTATGCAAGTTGACTCGCTACTTACTGAGTAAGTAATATATTGGTTTAAGATTTGTCTTCCCATGTTTGATCGTATGAAACTGTTGCTTGGTAGTCTCTCATCCACTCGATTGTTGGTAGAAATATAACAGCCCCAAAAAAGACAAGTGATGTGATGTTTCAACTCATACTTCTGCTAGAACTTATATCTCAGAGGCAATCTTCTTGTACTCTTGGGTCTCTCTCTCTAGTACACAATAAGTAACTAGTGCACCTTAACTTTTACTAGTCTATATGAAAAGGACATTCCTACTGTATTAGCTCAAAAGTTCCAGATAGATGGTGAAAAAATCAGCTCTTCATTACTTTCAAACGCATGAAAGGTACTTGCCTCGTCTCCTATTTGAATATCTCCTCCAGATAACTCACTCAATGTGTCCCAGTTGAAATTTTCCTCCCCAGATGTCCCGATTCCATCTTCACCATCTCTAAATGACGAGAATGACTCTATCTCGGTTACACTTTTCGACTTCTCGGGCTGATCGTCTTTTTTCAGCACCCCCATCTGCTGGAGAAACTCGTTGAGGTCAATCTGAGGCTTCTCCTCAGTGGCGGCAATATTCTTTTTACTTGCAGATGCAAATTCACTTTCTTTATCTTTAGCTTCAGGAATTTCGACCCGGGCCCGTTCACCAGAAAACGGGCTCTGTCCGAGAACCCCTGTTTTTTTGAGTGCCTGCAGCCTTTGGTGAATCACGTGAACGCTCGGCTGAGCATTCAGATTGAGAAGGCCCGTGGAGGGAAAAACAGAGGCGAGATTATTCGACGGGAACCACTTGAACCTGTGTGGTTTATTGAGGGGGTTGAAGTTGGACCTCAGGTGGGGCAGATTGAGGTAGGCCTCGGGCCCGTATAATCTCCGGGCCGCCTCGTCATAGGCCATGGCCGCTTCCTCGGCCGTGGCGAACGAGCCCAGCCAGAGACGGGTCCGTTTCTTGGGCTCTCTAATCTCGGCCACCCATTTCCCCCACGTGCGCTGGCGGACCCCACGGTATTCGCACGTGGAGTTCTGGGGCCCGCCTTTGCCTCTCGCGGGCCCTTTTTTCCAGGGTTTGAGTGGGGATGACGATGATGATGATGATTTTCTATGATGGTTTTCCATTTTGAGTTGGGAAAGAGGGTTTCTTTGTTTTTTTTGTTTTTTTTTTTTCTGAGTTTAGTGTGTGACTGTGTGTGGAGTGTGAAGATGTGGGATTTGATAATATAGAGCTCCATATTGTGTGTCTGTGTGAGAGCTTGTGTTGGTTTAAATGTGTTCACGTTTAGAAAAAAGCTTTTCTGGAGCTCCAACTCCAGTTGACCGTTGAGCTTCATCTAGTGTGTTAAGTTGCTACAACTATCAAGTATCAAGTGTTCACTCTCTAGTACAAAGTGAATTAGTTGACAAAGGCAGCCATGTAAACACGTGACAAGTATGAACTTTGAATGGATTTATGTCATTCTTTTTATTTTCTATATATTTTTATATTATTATTTTTTTTTTTCAAATTGGCAAGAATCCAAGGTTTTCTTTCTTTCCTCTTCTTTTTTAACAGATGAATTAGGTGAGTCACAAATTACAATCATATCTCAGAAGATGGCATGGTGAATTTCATCATATCAGTGTCCGAACTGTCCACATATGTTTCGACCCGTTGGATCAACACACACCAACATGGGTGTGATTCAACGGCTAAAAACTCGGTTTGGGCACTAGGGTTAGTCGATGCACATAAAATCTATCGATGTGTGTGTGCAACACTTAGAAAGTGAAACATATGCATATGCACATAGGATACCCCTACATCAGATTGATCATATGATGTAAACTGTAATAACCTCACAACTCACAAGAGGTTCTTGTGTAGTTCACGAGCCAAATTTCACATGTAATTCACATCTTGCCTGTTATATCACCTCTATCCCATGCATGCGTCCTTCTTTGTCTATCCTCATCAAATTATCATAACTTGTTAGTCATCTATATGTCAATGAATCTTTTCATTTTAATTTCAACTTTTTGTCAACTACCTATATGTGTAGGAAAATAAATTTTACACCCATTAGATTCATTTTTTCCATTAAAAATCACATTAATAAACGGTTGTGAAGAATCACTGATTAAAATCTTTCACAGCTCTAAAAAATCTCATATAATTAAGTTTTACAGTGACTTTTACCCTAGTCCCAGTTGTAAAATCAAGCATATGCGATTTTGCTTCAATAAGTTAATAGTGATTTACAATATACTATTTTGGGTCACTGGCATATACTATTTTGGGTCCGATGAAACCATCAACACCCTTTGGTTTAAAGAACTCGGACCTTCCCAAACCGAACGAGCTAGCGATTTCGTTGCAAAAAGGAAACTGAATGCCCCCATGCACATTGTGTTTATACCCCCATTTGCCACAAGATGTCACATTGTCATAACTAAAAATAATATGTTTGATGCCGCTTAAGCAAGGTCTCGGATTCGAGTCCTTGTGGATGTAGAAAACCATTGTGTTTATACCCCCATATGCTTTTTTTTTTATTGTTCATCCTCTGTCTAAGTTCATTACTTTCAAATTGATTTTGTTTACCTCTATGATTTGGAGTTTTTGTAAATTGGAAAACACATGTGTTAAGACTTAAATGTTAACACTAGTTTTCTGTAATTGTGTTTATTAAGAACTTAAGATCGACTTTGGAACAAAAATATTAAAATATAGTGTTTGATTTGATCGGATGTGTGTGAGTGTGATTACTTGTGTCGGTGTTGTTTGTGATGTAATGACATATTAATGAGTTATTTAGGTGATTTATGTGGAATCTTAGCAAAAGCTGATGTTTTTTCTTGGTGGGTATGACTATGAAATAGGAAAAAAGAAAATTTCATGAAGTTGTATTCAATTTAAAGTGGTAATTTTGTTATATGACATGTGTGGATCTTAGAAATTCTCTAAAGTATGTTATATTACGGAAGTGGATTGTTGTCTTTCACTGTTTATGTAATACGAAGTTTGTGAAATCGGTTGTACATGGTGTTATTATTATTTGGGCCCCCCTCGATAAAATTCCTAGCTCCGTCACTGACTGTCAGGTGTGCGATCCGGGTCGACCAACGGATTAGTTTGGGCATAACTCTAGATACCGTGGCTGGCTACCAAAAAAAAAATAATAATAAGTTTTATAAAATGTGATAACTTTATTATCTAACTTATGATTTTAAATATTATATACACGCAACTTAACTCAATCATTTTCGCAAACCAAATTTAATAATTAAAAAAAAAAAAAAGGTTATTCTCCAACAAACAAAAAGAGAGATAAAATTAGACATGGAAACTAGAAAAGGGACAGTAAAAAGGTGATGCATGAATCCCAACGTACAATCAATGTAGCAGCAGAGTACAGGTACCTAGATTCCGGCAACTGCGAATTGAGACCGTCGGAAACTCGAAACGACGTCGCGTAGATTCAGGCAGAAGCTGAGGGTATATGAAACGGCGCCGGCGAACAAGAGCTTGGCTGACCGGAGGGAGGAATTGAGGCTGCGAATCGGAGGTATGTAGAGCATAAGCGGCGCCGCCGCAAACGCCGCCATCAACAGGAGTTGAAGCATTGAGATTGAACAACAATTTTTTTTTTTATTTTTTTTTTTTGACAATCAATCAATTTCGAGACTAATAAGTTTAGTTATAAGCTTCAATTGAACATGACTTTTTAAAGCACGTAGGATATTTTATTCTATCAAATTATTGGATGAGTGGGAAATGTCGGCAGATATTTGTTAAAGTGTGCTGATTTTTAACATGCAAGCAGACATAGTCCAAATATGTGAACATAAAAGTATAAATAAATAAATAAATGTGTTACATAATAAGAGAGTTTTTAGACAACCATAAGTTATTTTATTTTTATTTATTTATTTTTTAAAAAAAAATTGCATGAATGCAAAAGAAAGACCCCAATAATAATATAATATAATAGACATGTCCAACGGGTCAATCTGACCCGTTAAATGTTTTTATTCACCATTCGACTCGTTGAATATTTCTATTCACTAAACATGATTGAGAAATCCAACTGTATTAGACGTGCCTATTCACTGTTCGACTCATTGAACATGTCTAATTCACCGTTGGATAGAATTTTAGGTACGCAACAATCCAGATTTTCACACAAAATCAGAAATTAAAATACGCAGCAGAAAATAAATAACACGAAAGATTCAAAAATTTAGCCTACAAGTAAAATACTGCCTACAAGTAAAATACTTGTAGACTAAGACCACATGCCAAAAATTCACTAGAACAAATCAACTTCAAAGTTTTCTATACAATCCTAACACGTCTAGTGAATAACGAAAAACAAAACGCGAGTTTAAACGAGATGTTCTCTATCAAATCAAACTATCAAAAAGCAAAGAAAAAATAATGCGAAGAGTAATTTGAGAGTAGCAATAAAGAACACAAGCCCGGAAAATTCTTGTCGTCGAAACTTCTCTTTGTCCGTAGTCTTCAACAAATAATTCCACGTTGCTTGTTTTCTGTATTCGGAAAATATGCGCTGCTCTTCCTATCTCAATACCGACGCACTGCTTGCTCAAAAGATTATAGCCAGTTGCCTTGCAATTGTTCTGTCTCAATTTTCCTTTCAAAAAATTAATCGCTGCCCATCAAAAAGCAAGAGTCCCAAAAATCTTAGTTTCCTTTTCTTTATTTCTCTTTCCTTAAGATCCCTAATCAAGATAAGGAAAAAAAATAATTAAAACAATAAATAATATACACTTATTTAAAATAAATAAAAAACAAAGAAAAGTACTGAAAAACAAAAATAAAATAATATGAATTAACATTCACTAACATGACTTGAGAGAAATTCGACTGGTGACTGAAATCGATGGCTCGGAAAATGATGAAGAGACAAACAGCCAAATCGATTAGCATGGTCGAGGCCAGCAAGATAGTTTGCTGCAAAGTTTTTCTCGATGAATGTGGCGGACCTCCACTCTCCAATCTCTTGTCTCATATAAATGATCAAGTATGACTTTACGAAATTAAGAAAACAAGAACTTATAGTGGCTCGCCTCCGAATGGAGCCGCAAAAATGGCTTCATGGAGTTTATTCGGGCCGAAATAATGGGTCCCGAGCCTGATTAGCTACTCCTCTCCTTGTTGTTCCTTTTTTGTCTCCGTTTTGGGTAGCAAGAAAGAGAATGAACCAGAGCCCGACCTTTTTGAACACCAAAGTCGGAGGGAAAATCAGATTATCAAAGGGAACGACGTCGTATGGGCCCTTTTATTTTTAGTTTTATTTCATCGTGAGATTCTTAAAAAAGCCATCCTTTTTTTTGGTTCCGTCACCGGCATCGCCTGAAGCGCCACCAATGCTTCACTGTCTATTAAAGGAACCCTCCCTGGATCCGCCGGCGCCGGCGCCGCCGCCGCCGCACCCTTCCCCAAACCCACCTAACGTTATTCCAAAATATCCCCGAAACGCACTCAATCAACTGAGCTGCCAGGCCAACTTCCGGCTCATCTGCGACCACCTGGTCGACATCACACGCCGGAGGAATCTCCCTGGAGGCCGAGCCCTCCACGCCCACGTCATCAAATCGGGCTTCGGCGCGGTCCCTCTCGTCTGCAACAACTTTATCAACTTCTACTCCAAGCTCCAGCTACCTCACTCGTCGGAGCAGATCTTCCACGAGACCCCCGTCAAATCGTCGACAACATGGAGCTCCATCATCTCGTGCTTCTCTCAGAACGAGCTCCCCTTTCGCGGGCTCGAGTATTTCAAGCTGATGCTGAAGAATAAAGGTATGGTCCCCGACGACTACATCTTCCCCTGCGCGACCAAATCGTGTGCGATGGTCAACGACCGCCGGTTGGGCCGGTCGGTGCACTGCTTAGCGATTAAAATTGGGTTTGGCCTGAACGTGCACGTGGGAAGCTCTGTGGTTGACATGTACGCCAAATGCGGGAGTTTGGTGGACGCTCGGAAGTTGTTCGACCAAATGCCTGAGAAAAATGTGGTGACTTGGAGTGGGATGATATCCGGGTACACGCAGATGGGGGAACATGAGGAAGCCATGAGGCTTTTTAAGGACGCGTTTTCTGAAGGTTTGGAGTACGTTAATGATTTCACGTACTCGAGCGTGATACGTGTATGTGGGAACTTGACCCTTTTCGAATTAGGCAGGCAAATCCACGCTTTATGCCTGAAAACGAACTATGACCGAACCAGCTTTGTTGGGAGTGCTTTGATCTCAATGTACTCGAAAAGCGGCGTGATCGAGTGCGCTCACAGAGTGTTTAACGAGGTTTCGGATAAGAATTTGGGGTTGTGGAACTCTATGTTGATTGCTTGCGCTCAGCACACGCACACGGAGAATGTGTTTGAGTATTTCAAGAAAATGCAGAATACTGGCGTGAGGCCGAACTTCATTACGTTCCTGTGCATGCTCTATGCTTGCAGCCATGCTGGCCGAGTGAATGAAGGAAAACGCTATTTTGCTATGATGAGGGAATACGGCATAGAGCCCGGCAGTCAACACTATAGTTCAATGGTTGACCTGCTCGCACGAGCTGGCAAACTTGACGAGGCCATGAAAGTAATCGACGAGATGCCGATGCTGCCAACAGAGTCCGTCTGGGGAGCTTTGCTGACCGGGTGTCGGATCCATAAAAATACAGAGCTAGCTAGCTCGGTGGCTGATAGGGTCTTTGAATCCGGGCCCGTGAGCCCGGGCCTTCATATGCTTCTGTCTAATGCTTACGCGACAGCTGGAAGGTACCAAGAGGCAGCTAAAGCTAGAAAAATGCTCAAGGACCGCGGGCAGAAAAAGGAAACGGGTTTGAGTTGGGTCGAGGAGAATAATAGGGTCCACACGTTTTCAGCAGGTGATAGAAAGCACGAATTGTGTGGCGAGATTTACAGAAAACTGAAGGAATTGGGCAAAGATATGGAGAAGGCGGGTTATGTTGTGGATATGAGTCACGTGTCGAAAGAAGTTGACGATGAGGAAAAAAAACTGGCGATAAGGTTTCACAGTGAGCGGTTGGCGATCGTGTTTGCGTTGATTACGTTCCCGGCCGGGAGGCCGATTAGGATTATGAAGAACTTGCGTGTTTGTGGTGATTGTCATGTCGCGATAAAGTTTATGTCCAAGTGCACGGGAAGGGTTATAACGGTGAGGGATAATACTCGGTTTCATAGGTTCGAGAATGGGGAGTGTTCTTGTGGTGATTATTGGTGATTGAAATACAATGACATTTTGATCCTTGTGTGATTTTTTCGACAGTTGAATTCTGGCAATAGCTCCTCTTGAGAAGACGGCCATATTTATTGTTTGAAGAAAAGAAAAATTACTAGAAAAAAAAAAAAAAAAAAAAAAAAAAAAAAAAAAAACATGAATGATTTCTTCAAAGAGAATTTGAAATGCTTGAACTGACAAGGTTCCTAAAAGAATAGCCTATTACAAGCTGTTGAATGACTTATTAATGGAGCTTTTCGGTAGAGATTTATTTTGCCTCTGCTGATTCTTGAAATCAGTGGTCTAAAACTTCATCTGATTATAAAATCAAGGGGCTTGCACCCTCATGAAGTAATCTTTTTAAATACATAAAAAAATTTTGGCTGTTTTTCTTTACAAAAAATGCACACACATATGTAGAGTAATATAATATTATCAGCTTGATGTTAGTAACGACCTAACCTTCTTGCAGAGGCTTCTGGGTGTTCTGACAACTGAGGCAGGTTTATCTAGGCCCTCATGGTCAAAATGGTTGCTTTTTTGCCTAATTAAATAAGAGTATTTTATTTTATGCTCTTAATTTCTTGGACATATTTATAGGTTCTTAAGTTATTCTGAGATCTTTTTCCAATGTTCATTTCTGGATTGATTCAAAAACTATTCATGTTACTGTTTTCTTTCTTTTAAGGTTCATTATATTTTTTTTTTCGATCTCCCAAGAGTGACTGCTTCACCTGTCTTTGGTTATTGCTTTTACATTCTTCATCTTTCGTGTTGTCCTTTTTTTCTTGTAATAACTTGTGATCAACCATTGAAGCATCAGAATTTGAGGATTAGCAGCATGGGAATGAATTTTTTTCAGAAACAACATTGTTGAGATTTGTTCAACCTTGAAAGAATATGGGCAACAGTCTTTTATGGGATTTGTTCAAGAACCCAAGGTACTCTTTCATCTGATATTATTCATTGATATTCCACTTTCAAAACTGAATGTTTCATTGTTAATTATGCTTCGAGTTTATTGTTCCGTAACTTTCTCCCTGCCGAATCTTGCCAAATCCTCATATGCCTCTGTTGTTCGTTTAATGGAGTACTAGAGGAACATAACTTTCATGTTGCCATCTCTTAATTTTCTAGACTCAATCTAACAGGGGGATTTTCAAGAAAGATGAATTGGGTCTTGAGATAGCTCGAATTGCCTTACCCGCGGCCCTGGCTCTAGCTGCTGACCCCATTGCCTCTCTTGTTGATACTGCCTTTATTGGCCATATAGGTATATGATTTCACAACAACAAACATTCAAATAAAAATTTTAGTGTAGTACCAATTTACATTTCTTATGCTTATTTATTCTCTCATCCAGGTCCTGTGGAGCTTGCTGCCGTTGGAATTTCTATTGCTATCATGAATCAAGCATCGAAAATCGCAATTTTTCCACTCGTCAGCGTGACTACTTCTTTTGTGGCAGAGGAAAATGCTAAAGGGCGTTCCTCAGGTGAATGTGAGGGCATTGAACTAGTCGAGGAACAAGCTGCACTGAATAGCGAAAAGAAACATTTGGTGCCTAAAACCGGTATTCATTGATAGTATGAGCATACTATTTAAACAGTGCATTTTTTTTTTTTCCTTTTTTGGCTTGTACTGACGATAAGAGTTCTAATATTGTATTTGAACTGATATTATATAAGTGTTTTTGTTTTTCAGTTGATTGTGAAGAGATTGATGATATAGGGGTTTCCAAAAAACATATTCCATCAGCTTCATCGGCTTTGATTATCGGGGGTGCCCTTGGCCTCATCCAAGCTGTTACCCTCATTTGCACTGCAAAACCTCTGTTAAGTTACATGGGGGTGAAAACGGTAAGTTCCCCAGTAATTTTCACCAAGCTGCATTTGCTTTATGTAAATTATTCGAACAGTTACAGAACTACCTTCAGAATTTGCCGAACTATAGAACAAACCCAGAAATCTTTCAAAATTGCAAATACAAATCTTAGTTTACAATCAGCATCTGTTGAGGGTGTGCTTAAGAGGAGTTGTAAACTGTACAGAGCACGCAAGTCTCAAGGTGGAACATGTAAATCGAAAATAAATGTGTTCTTTCGTAATATATTAAATGTTTGTAGGATTCTCCAATGCTGAAACCGGCACTGAGATACTTAACATTGAGGTCACTTGGAGCTCCGGCTGTCCTTCTCTCTTTGGCCGTGCAAGGTGTTTTTCGAGGGCTAAAGGACACAAAAACTCCTTTATATGCAACTGGTAACTAAACAAAGCCTTTTATCATAGCATAATATAGGATCTAAGTTTAACGGGCAAAGCAACAAACTTTAATGTTCTACGTTCTTTCGTGACTTTTGGTATAGTGGTTGGTGATTTGGCGAATATCATATTGGATCCAATATTCATCTTCCTACTCGATTTAGGTGTAAGTGGTGCAGCAATCGCTCATGTTATATCTCAGTAAGCTTACCTTTTCGTGTTACCAATTTTATTTCTATTTTCTTCTTTTTTTTTTCTTTTTCGAGCTGGTTTTATCGACGTATATCGAATTTCAGGTACTTGATTTCCTTAATGCTCATGTGGAAATTGATGGAGCAAGTCAGTCTTTTACCACCATCGATCAAAGACCTGCAACTTTCTCAGTTTCTCAAGAACGGTAATATTAACAAGCTCTTTCTCTTTTTTTAGGCTTTTCTTGGTAGTAATTTATTAGTCCTCCACACACTAGAGGGAAATTTCTAGTGAAATTTGGAATTATCGAGCGCAGGATTTGTGCTGATACTCAGAACCATAGCTGCAACCTTTTGTGTAACTTTAGCGGCTTCATTAGCCGCGAAAATGGGGCCTACATTCATGGCCGCTTTCCAAATCTGCATGCAGATTTGGTTAGCGGCCTCTTTACTAGCTGATGGTTTAGCTGTGGCTGCCCAAGTAAGGCCCATTAATCGCTTTTACTGAATTTGCATTTTTCCTATCATTAAAACATTGAAAAAAAGTGTGTTCCCCAAAGGTGTTTTTATTATAGACATTATAAACATTTTTCTGCAGGCGATTTTGGCCAATGCGTTTGCAAGGCACGATTATGAAAAGGTCGTTCTTACAACTTTTCGCGTATTACAGGTACGCTTGCATTTTACGTGCGAAATTTAATTAATCGAGCAAATTCCAATCCAAATTTATCTATTTTTCTTAAGTTTTTTATGTTCATTACATGCAGTTGGGTGTAGTTCTTGGTCTCGTTCTCTGTACTTTTGTTGCTATTACATTGCAATTTTCATCAGAACTCTTCACGACCGATACAAATGTTCTTCGCCTCGTAAAATTAGGCATCCCGGTAATGAAATCTCTGAACTTCTTTATCATTTTCTTATTATTCCATTTATGGCCCTGCATTTAGCTCAACTGTTGCTGATAAATACACTCATATCTATAGTTTGTGGCCTTGACTCAACCGGTCAACTCACTGGCTTTCGTTATCGACGGATTGAATTATGGAGCATCGGATTTTTGTTATTCTGCTTACTCAATGGCAAGTTTAATTTAACAAACGACATTATCTAAAAAGCTCGATTTTGTTCTGAATTCGAAGTGTAGAGCTTTAACTTGTGTGATCAATCTTGCTCCATCTTTTCTTACAGGTTTTGGTCTCATTTATAAGTGTCGTGTGCTTGTTCTTACTTTCGTCGACTAACGGTTTTGTCGGTATATGGTTCGCGTTATCCATTTTCATGAGTTTACGAGCAGTGGCTGGATTTTTAAGGTATGGATAACATTGAAAAATCTGGTGAATTGATGGTTTTGCTATGAAATTTATGACAGAATTTTTAATATGTTTGCATATATATGCACAGGATAGGGACAAGAAGAGGACCATGGAGCTTTTATTCTGGCTGATCACTTGTTGAGTTATTATTTCCCACAAATGCTTCACAAAAATACAGATTTTGTATAATTGTTGTATTTTGTATATATGTATAATTCTTTATTCATTATAAAAAAAAAATGCGTGAAAAAAATACATACAACTCTGAGGGGAAAAAAAATATTACATGTTTATTATTATTATTATTATTATTATTATTATTATTATTATGTAATAGTACAACTCAATAATTATTCGTAAACTGAGTATCACCCAAATATGTTCGGTTGTGCCGCTCAACCTCTTGTCGGAACCCTCAGTCGGTTGTCCAACAGAGGTGAAGCCACCGTCAAGGATGACACTCGTACTAGAGTCTCGAATCATCTCGTTCAGCCTCATCCCGTTGGCGAACCACAGACAACAGTCTGCACCTAGCCCACGAGCCGCTGTCAAGGTTTTTTGTTTAGAAATTTCACTAAATCTTAAAAAGTTTTAATAAAACTATGAACAAAATTGGGTGAGGGTCAATTCCTTAAGCTAAAGTTCAGGAAATAATTGTACATTAATTTTGGTTTTTAGTTGATTTTAGAAATCTAATAATTTGATTGTTACTTACAACTAATGATGCCATAAATTGAAATCATGGTGTGTCGTATAATCATATCAATATTAGAAAAATAGACGGTGATACATTTTTATCTACTTGTAGATTCAATATATTTGCAACTTTTTTTTTTTTAAGTATAAGAGCATAATAATTGCTTTGCCTGTACATAAATATGAAAAATCTATTTTAAAATGATATAAAAAACTATAAGAAATGTCAACATGAGGCACCAGCATATTTAGAATTAATGTCTACCTAACATTTTGTCTTGATGGCATTTTTGCAACTACTAGTGCGTGGCCCGTGCGATGCACGGAAAAACAATATTACGATTGTGTTATAAATTAAATATACAAATAAATTAATCAAGATTTACACATCGTTTTTAAATTAAACCGTGTATGACAGTCCGAC